AACGACAACTTTCATATAGGACTGTGCTCAGATAATACATGTAAATAAACTTGTTTGCGTTGCAGTAAAATAAAATTTTCCATGTAATATTCTTGTGTTCTATTTGTTCTGCATGCGGTGGGAGTACGGCATGCTAGACCGGTACTCCCTAGGATATGAACTCGTTACTGTATATAGGTGTAGTTCTGTAGCAACACTATCGATCGATATAAGTAGTGAATTATAAGTACTTTAGTCAAGCCCAAACATTTGCCTAAAGTTAGCGATTACGTCTCCTAGTCGTAGGTAAGTCTGTAGGGACCAAGTACAAAAATACTTCAGTATTTGAAAAATAAGAAATGAACTTAGGCACTGCAATTGAGTCGATTTCTTATAAGGTAAAGTGTACTCAAAAGTAGTACATTACCAACATTTCATTAAAGCATGGTGTCGATTCATATGATTATGGGTGTAAGGTGAAGTGTACACGAGACGAATAATTGAATAGGTTGAGCTGTAGCAATCGTAGTCAGATTTACATTACACTAAAATATGCCACCAATTACTTCGTCAGGTCTCATTGATAAGTCATGCCTGCACCTAGTCATCATGACAAATATAGCTACACTCAGATAAAATAAGAAAGGTCTGGTAAGCATGATGTTAAATATATTTAATGAAAAATCATTACAAACAAATGTCTTTACGCAGTTGTTTGTCGTAACAATTTGGGCAATGTCGAATCGCTGTGACCGGGTTGACTGACGTTACCGGATATCTGCAAATAAGTAAACAAAGTGTTTTTTTGATCGCTGAAGTAAGAAAGAAGTAATATTAAGGTTAAGCGTTTTATATTTACCTACCTTTGCTGAAAATGGTTCACTCTCCTTTCTCATTCTTAATTCATGACAGCATTCTTCTGTGGTTTTTACAGTGACATATATTGTTCATCTTCTAAAGGATAGCAGCAAGCAAATAATAATTTCATATGCTGTATAAACGAATGTTTACAAAGAATGCATGTCATTTCTACAGGCGCAGTAAGTTATAAACTGCAATCGTGACGTATCATAAGTTAGTACTTTTTCAAAAGTTTAAGTCGTTCAACTATTGGACGAGTAATTAGAACAGGTTATGATAAGAGTTAAATTGTAAACCCTTCACAATAAACACTGGGCATTTGGCTAAGGGCTATGTCCTTGGAACGTTAGTATACATTTGCAATGTTTTATGCCAACCATATCGGTGTAAGCATGGAAAATATGACGGTTTCCATGAAAATACAGCTTTGCTCAAACACTGGTGCTGTTGTGTTCCTAATAAAATCAAGCAGACTGTAAGCAAGCAACCAATAGGCACAAAGAGTAAGTCTCAGCTTTAATAAAGGCATATCCAGTTAAGAAAAAATGTAGTGTAATAGTGCGCAAATAAAAAGGCCATCGTGAAGTAGATAAGTGATATTTCAGTGACAGGTAAATTGAAAGATCTGAAAGCTTGCAATTCGTAAGACAACGTGACATGTAAGGTCTCTCACAAAATTCTGTGGGGCCTGTGGGGTACCATGGATGGTTTGGCAGAGCTGCTAGCTACTAATCGACAGAAAGCTGATACTCATTTTAAGTACTCTGACGTTTGAGAAGGACTATTTATACTCTTCTTCGGGACGCGATGAACACTGATGTCAATATAGTCTGATGCCATTTTATGCACTGAGCAATGAAGGCCTTCTGCAATTCCATGTGCAAATGTAAATTAAACTATTATCACATCTTCGCCTAAGCAGTTTTAACTAGGAACTTCATTAAAATAGATATAATCACCAGGAAATTCAGCAGCCTGTCTCATTCATCGCATGATTTCGTCGATGTGTTATGGAATATTTCAGTCATCACGGATGATAACTGAAGTATTTAACATCCTCAAAACACACATCTAACCTATCTCTGCAGACTATTCTCTTTCATATGCCCAATTCTCATAGATTCACTGGAATGACTACAGCCATTGCCTGTAGTCTATTTATAACCTTAAGATCTGAAACAACGCGCAAAAACAAACCCTCAACGCACTATGATGCAAATAATAGTCTTTCTATGCGAACTTTCTTAAAAAGGATGACTTTTTTATTAATACTTCATCCGAGCTATAATATACAATTTTACGCTTTACTACGAACAAAATACAACCAAATACTGCCTTCTGGCTACAGAACTCTAAAACTAGTCAAATATAATCTATTTCCAAAAAATAGGCAATTATAACGCCCGTAGCCGTGAGCGCGTTAACCAGTAAAATTGCGCAGGAACACCTTGTTATAGCGTATATCCTCACACATTGGGATTAATTATATGTTGTTTGAAGTATGCGGTGGGTTAAGACTTTGTTGCTACTGTGAATGGGGTTGATCCTTTCACCAGTTGGTCTTCCGGTATCGTCGTCAAAAGAAAAGAGGTAATAATAACGTATATAACTAGTGTTGATTGTGCAGACTAAAAGACAGAAAAAAGAGCAAAGAAAACGTGAAAACAGACGGCTACCTAGATTTCAAGTTTATATATACATATAAATATATATGTATATGATATCAATAATAATCATAATAAGCGTAAGTGTGTAACAACGGAAGACAAGGGTCAGGCAACAGATCGTTTATTTAGGAAATCAACACATATTTACAGATTTTCATGCACATTATTGTAGATCATTGTTAGCAAACAAACAGAGCCTTCCAATTGGTGGTTTCTTACTGGACGTTAAACTTTCATCTCTTTGTGGCTGTCTCTATAAGTTCAGGTTATCTATCTGCAAATTGTATCCGCCTACACAGAGTCTGCTGTTATTGGTTGTTGAGTCGGTCTTTGTTCTTATTTTACTCATGACCGATATTTGGCACGTACACATTGATGTAAATAACAACCTACGAATTTTGGCTAGTAGCCAGCCCTCACCACAACTGTAGCATTTGGAGTAATCGGGAGAGTAAGACAGGAGAGAATGTAACGAAGTGAAACGAAAAATTTGGATGTCTACCCGCGATTGGCGCATGGACATTTTTAAAGGGGATAGGTCATTCGGATGCAGTCCTTGTGTTGCTGCATTATTGTCCAGCCCAGTGAGCTATACTTCTGGGATTTCCACGAGGAAGCCCATACCTACTTAGCGGCGGAACACCTTTGTCTGGGCGATCCTGGTCATTTGTTATCTTATAGGCAGTAATCAAGTCCCACTTAAGGCGATGATAGTTAGGAGTGAAGAGACCTAATTTCTTGAGCAGTTCATCTAGGAGACCGTTGCTCTATTTATGGCCAGTTTTTGCACCCTTTTCAAAAGATTTGCGTCGCTTCTAAACAGTGGGGTCGCAATAACATTATGCACTTGAAGGTGTGGTCAGACGTGTGTCCTGTGAAACCTTAGAAAGAGCTCGGGAGTGATTGCATCTAACTGCCTATATGTAAGTTGTAAGACTGCATATACCCTGGCTACATACTCCGCGTGACTTACGCTTGCGTCCATTTCTCGCTAGGATTAGACCTAACTCACGCTCCAACAATGTGCAAGACAAGCTTTCGTTGCATAGGGCGTAACTTGCATTCTGTGGCCTACAGGTACATAATTTCACTACTTTGCACTTTTTCAGGTTAAAAGTCATGCCACTGGCCACCACCCAGTCTTCCAGAAGTTTTAGATCTGCCCGCAGCCTCCCTGAGTCTTCCGTACACTTTATTGCCCTCCATATCTTTACGTCGTCAGCGCGAAGGAGATTCGGGCAGCTTAGACGGTATGGTAGGTCACTGATAGAAATTAAAAGCATTGGTGGCCCTAGGATAGAGCCCTGCGACACTCCTGATGACGAGCTGTGACAGGATGGTAGGACTTGATTGATTTTATAACAGAATTTCTTCTCATCTAGGTAGTCCTTCAACTATGACAGAAGCAGCTTACCCATACCTGCCTGACTTATTTTGTGTAGGAGATCATGGTGAACTGTGTCAAATGCCTTCTCGAAGTCTAGGAAGACCACATGGACTGGAATATTCATATTCTAGCATGATATCCAATCGTCCCAGGGGTTTCCTTTCCTGAGACCGTGTTCGGCATCATGGAGTATATTAGTACTATCGAGGTGTTTCTTGATGTGGTCATCAGTAATACTTTACACTGGGAGTAGCACTACTGGTCTATAACTAGTGACATTTTCTGCTCCCTTGGAAGTTTCCATCGAGTGTTGGAACAAGTTGCATAAGGGCGTACAGCGAGCTTTAACTCACTGTTTCAGAACAGATAACCCAGTGTTCTTCAAACAATTTATGACCAATTTAAGGAGCATGACTGCCTTTATAAATTGCAGTCTACTTACTGAACTGATTTATTAGTGTCATTGGAAAAACGATTAAAGTTATTCATAAGCGATAAGCCTAGATTTAGCCTTGCTTGCTAATAGTGAAATCTATGGCCCTAAGGAAAAATCAGCGATAACAGTAATTAAGGGAGCCCACCATATTACTTTTGCTGGAACACTAATCCCTAATGTAACAGAAATATTTGGAGAAAAACTCTATTCCCATCTTTATGGTGGAAACATCAGAAAATATTTAGAAAAGTTCTAGTTTATGAGCCAAATAAAGCGGAAGCTAGACAATCATGCAGAAATGCAAGGTTTGTGTCTCAATGGCTTATCCTCATAAAACTTAAAACCACACTGTCAATGGATAAGTGTACAAACTAAATCCCCACGACCTATTCCGCCTTCTCTCACTCTATCTTTTCCTTAGGTCACCTTTATTATTCAACTTATCTCAACCCATATTATCTACACTGCAACCTATTATTATTACTATTCTGCTTTTATGACTACACCGAATGACCAACGGGAGTTAGGTCAAACTGCATTCACGGCAGCAATACGGTCCTAACATACTGCATACCACAAACCACATCTTGACCAATCCCCGCGCCACTCCTCTTGGAGTCTACCAGAGCTAAAGCAGTCGAGTGGCGGGGCTTACTACGCAGAAGCTCACCGAAGATCTGGAACCTCTACCTCAAAATAAAGAAGCAAGCTCAAAGAAATCACTGGTTTATACTAACTCGTAATCAGGATATTGGATATTGGATAACATACTGAAATCGAACTTTAGCACTATTATAAACTTATTCGTTACAGTTTGTGTTTGTTGTTCGCTTTCATCTTTACAATGATATGTGATTTTCGAAATGTTGGAAAATAATGTAGATCCAGCGAATGCGGATATTATTTCCAAGTATCTTAATCCTAAGGCGTCGGAGAATCCTGTCGATATATCCGATGACCCAGATATCAAGGATTCTGAAAATAGGGATTATTTTGGCTTTTACCAGTGAGTATTGAAATTGTCTTATGTCATAAAATTAACTGTAAATTAATGGTTTGCCTGCCTAACTGTGTGCTGTGTGCATGCACATGTGGTGAAAAGAATTATATAATTCTTAATATATATTAACGATGTACATCGTTAATATGACTTGCTATATAAATTTTTAGTATCTAGTATTTTCTCCTTATTTGTATGGGTGTGAGGGTTCACTGATCTTAGAAAATGTGGTCATCTGCATTGAAATATGTGGTTGTATTAACGAGGAATAGTTATAGACCGACTGTACCACTCAAAGCACGTGACATTATGTAATAAATACCGAGACAGTTCACCTATATGTCGTGGAAAGTTTCGGAAGTCTTTTACATATTTGTAGTTCATGTTAGAAATGTGAAGTGTTTGGCTTTCGTGTTCCGACTTTTATAGTTATTGACAAAGTTGTGGAATATGTTTAAACTTTGAAAATCTCTGGAGGAATCAGTGTTTAAGTCATCCCTGTGGGTTTTTCAAACCGATTTCTACTCTCATTCATGAATAATAAACGGTTAGATAATGCATTTCAATGGTCCGCCTCAAATTAGTGTAACAAATCAGGGTCGTATTTGCTATTGTCTTTTAAAAAAGGACTTATGATAGTACTTCATTCTGACAAAAATAGCTGATGCATAAGTTAAGGTAAAGGTGTGAATGTCTAAGTCGATGAGCCAATCTGACCAATGGAATGTATGCCTAAGTGTCATCTTTTCCCCACTAGCGTGGTCCGATATTTTTCGAAACAGTTGGTAATTGCCTCATAGAAAATTAAACGGGAATATGTTCAAATCCATCAGTTAAACATTTAAAGGAATTTATTTCATGAAAACTCTAGACAGTAAAGTTGTGTGTATCAGTAAGACAATATGGAATCATATCAAAGCAGATTTACGGAGGGCCACAGCACACGCACTGGTACATTATTTCAAAAAAATTGGCGAGATTTCAGTTTATGTATACTCAGTCATTTGCCAGTTGTCAGTTGCACATGGCAGTAATAGCAGCCACCTAAGTTTGTTCATCCTTGAGATACTTTATTGTGATCTTTCTATTTCCTTCCGGAGGCTAGCCATAATTCAGCACTATTGTTGCTGTATGTCAAATGAATATAAATATGCTTGTCGTGCTTATAATAGCAGTGTTATAAAGCGATTTCAACAGATAAATTCGTTTCAATGTCAATAATTAGTAATCGTTTGTTGATTTAATTCGTATATAAGCATTATAAGCCAAATTGCATAAATCTCTCACTTAAAATAAAGTTCTTTGATACCTTTGATATTCTGCTAGAAAAGTGAGTAGTTTGCAAGTATTTATTCATCGTGTATATCGCGCGGTAAGATAAGTTAATTTCAAAGGGCGAACTGATATTGAAAAGCAGTCATATTCACTTCCTTTCATTCACTGTTCACGCGGATAAAGTACTGACACATATGCTAAGTAATCCAATCGTTATGATTAATCTATAAGGACTGTATTCATTGAAAAATGGTAGGAAAAGTTAATAAGAAAGTTGAAATACTGTGAGAGGAGGAGGAAAGAAACAACTTCCTTCACCTACCTGGGAAGCATCGTTTCAACTACAGGCGGAACTGACGAGGGTATCAAAGCAAGAATCGGAAAAGCAAGACAAGCTTTCATTACTCTCAAGTCTCTGTGGAGGTCAACAGCCCCACTCACCATCAAAAATAACATCCGGATCTAAAACTCCAATGTGAAGTCAGTCAGTGCTACTGTACGGATCAGAGACTTGGCCAGCGTGTCATAAAGAGCATCTCAAACAAACTTCAAACCTTCATTAACAGCTGTCTTCTCTCAATACTCAATATCAGACGGCCGGCCAGAAAAGATCAGCAACAGGGACCTCTGGCAGTGAGCGAACCAACTCAGCAGGAACCGGTTGTGAAACAAATATGCAGGAAGAAATGGAGATGGATTGGCTGGCCATAATCTGAGGAAACCAACAAGTGACATCACACACTGTGCCATCGCTCGAGTGGAACCAGACAGGGAAGCAGCGAGTCGTTCGTCAGTGCGAGGGTGACTTGGAGGAGGTCATGTGAATAGGAGATGAAAGCATGTGGGCAGACTTGGAGTGGAGTGGAAAAGTTGGCAGAAAACAGAAGGCAATGGAGACGCGCAGCTGAAGCCCTATGTTCCTCTAGGAATTAAAGGATATAATAATAATAATAATTGAAGTGTTATCCAAGTTAGTTTTCAACCCATAGTTCGCGTAATGGATCTTTCGTATTTGTGATTGTAGACGAGGCCATTAAAATCTTATCCTTTGCGTAGCCATGAAAAGCTTTATAACTGGATATTGCAATAATAGTGTTTATTTATTTATTTAAACGCATAAAAATTTGGTATAATATGGGACCAAGAAGGATGCGCCACACAATAATAATAAAACAACATAGATCAAAAGAAAAAAAGAAAGAAAAGAAAAAAATATTTATATAAGTAGAGAACGGATAAAGAACTTCATTCGGAAGGAAAACAGTCATACTTAACAAGTTCAAACAGTATTCGTTAACTATCATCGCATAGGGAAGAAAGAAGGAAGTTGCAACACGTGTAATAGCACGCGATAAGTTTCATTGATTGTTTGTTGCTTCATTCAATTCATTGTGTGAGGGCTGAGATACTGTCCGGGTGCCCAGACCGAAGCAGGTGGTTTTATTAAGGGACCATCCCCGAGCCTTTGACTTGGAGTCTAATCTGCAAGACAGCGGAGCAGCGTCAGGAGCTTCATTCCCATGGTTTCCGGTGACCCATATGGATTCACACGCCATTTGATCCGATTAGATACTGGAGCCCATGTACCCCATGGTAACTGCTTTTAGTTTAACCGCTATCCAGGAAACCTTCCTGATATGGTAGGACCTGCAGGGACAGAGTCCCAGTCAGTTTAGCATGTTGGATCATTACGGTATTCAAGCCCGACCACCACCACGACAATGTAGCAGTTATCGGGCGGGTTAACTGGATATCACAATAATAGTAATAGCTATATAATGAACAATGTTCACATAATGTACAGAATTTTCCTCGGAGTTTATTGCATGATAGCTTCTTTTCCTCCAGAATCTTTGAATAAAAGATTGATTGACAGAAGGTCATGTGACACAGTGGTATCTGACCTGAAGCTGAAATCAATCCATTATAAATTCCCTTTTTATCCTTTCGAGATATACCAGTTCAGGAGTGTATTTTCGGTGAACTAAGATCACCACTCAGGAACGGTGATCTCAAGTAACTGGGATAAGCTTCCATCGAGAGTGAAAAAATACTATTAGGGACAACACCTTACTAGATTTAAACAAATGGAATAAGAGAAATTATCTGCAATATATTGATGGAGGTTTGTATGTGCCTGATATCTGTCACCTGTTGGACTATTTCTGGCCTAATGCTTGCTTTGAGAATAAGGAGGGAAGTATTTGAGTATCTCACCTTACACATCTATGAGACTGTAGTGCTGATGAGAGTAGTTATTTTGAAAGGACTGCAAGGCTTTTGTTTTAGCGCAAACGCTTGTTTTCTTACCTAACGTTAGATAAAAAAAACATGGTAAACAACACTGAAAATAAGCGTAAATTTCGAAGTAAAGAAGTCAAGTTAATTAAAGAGGCTCTGCATATTCATTTGTTAATGTCACTGGAAAATACAAATCAAGCCTCTATCTTTCTCAATAAGGAATGTAAGCTGAAGTACGACATGGTTGAAAAAGTTAGAGGTAGTCAAACCGACGCACAACACCCATCCATGAAGTTATTGACTATTGGTGTAAACCGTAAAAAGAGATTTGGGTTGCTTAGCTGTAGTCCTTAAAATGTAATTTTAAGTACTAATTACTGAAAAAACTGGCGAACGTCTAAAAAATAGTCCACAGTGGAGCAAATATATAGTTACTTCTTATTGTTTATGAACTTGAATCCACTAGTCCCCCTCCACATTTATGTGTATTTACTGAATTATCACGTTTTTGTGTTTCTATCTCTGTCCGTCTTTTTTCGACATAGAACTTTGCACAAATGTGCGACAGTTCAAGTCGCCACACTCCGTGTAGCACGCGAAGCAAGAGAAGAAAGTACAAGAAAAGCATAATAGAGACAGTGAGCAGAGGTGTGAGACAAAGGAATGGTAATAACGAAGAACAAAACAGTTTCATTGGAGATCATAAGTCACAAGGAGTGGATGCATCTGCGCCACTGAGAACGATTTCGAGCCATGTCACCAATTGTTTCCAACCATAGATTTTTACTGTCCCGAGGACCCCAGCCTGGAAGTCTACACCTTCCTACGTGGCTTAGACTAACTGTTGTGGATTTCATTGAGTGGTCACGCCAAGTTTTTTTTCGACCTCCGCTAGCTTTTTTCCAGCCTGACCCTATATCCGCTAACATTGCTCGTCGAGGAAGGCGATGACTAGACATACGTAACACATGTCCTAACCATCTCAGTCTTTGTAACTTCACGACTTCGTCGATTGATTTCCTCAGTTTACCTAGAACTCGACGCCTAACTTCAATGTTGCTCACCTTATTATCTGTCTGTCTGTCTGGTTTCAACATAGAACTTGGCACCGAAGTGCAGCAGTTCCAGTTGCCACGTTCCAAAATAGCACACAAAGGTAGACAAGAAGATAAATGAAGAGAATCAATGCAGTCTGACAAGTATAAGAGTGAAACAGAATGGGTAATGGTAGAAAGGAATATGAAAGATTACAGAGACTGAATACATCTGCGCTGGCCATTGACAACGACTTTGTGCCATGTCACCTATTGTCTCCAGCCATTGATTCCTAGAGTCCCGAGGGCCCCAACCCGGAAGTCTGCATCTCCCTACCTGACCGACTCAGTTTAACTGTCAAGGATTTCATGGATTGATGCCATGTTTTTGTTTGGCCACCACTGGCTCTTTTCCAACCTGCACCTATATCAGCTAGTAATGCTCGTCGGGGGAGG